CTTGGCGGAGCGAGCAATATGATAAATCAAAACCCTAAATGAATATATATATATATATATATATATATATATATTTCGTTTCGTTTAGTTTCTTTCCTTATAGTTATGAAAAAGGAATGTATATTTATATACGTGCATACAGACAGATGTTACCGAAGAATATTAGGCAAAAGATATAGTGGTCCAAATGTTTGTCTTGATGAAGATGCCCACATGTCAATATGGGGCATAGGACTTCGGTTCTCTTTCTCTTTGTTTCGTATTCTTCTTTTAATAAAAAAGACCTTTATGTTTAACTCTTGTGGACCATATATATATATATATATATGTATATATGTATTGGCATTATAATTATATATATCAGTTTTTTTCCCTTTATGCGGTTATGGTGAAATGGTGGAATTGTTGTTGCGTGCTTTTCACTCTTATTGGTGGCTAACTTGCACGAGGAACAAACGAGAGCTTATTTGTTTTATATATTAGTATGCGTGTATATATACCAATAGATATAAAACTGTATATTGTGTGTATGTATATATATATATCCAATATCTTTCTATTCTAACTATAATTAACGAAAATAAATTACACAAAACACGCGTGTGGAAATGTTATAATCCGGTTTAGAGACACTGTTCGTCGGCCTAAAATTATTCGAATTTAAGTGTTTGGGCAAATGAAAAAAAAAACACATGGCTCATGCGTAGTCCGGGATGTTCGTGAACGTGTTCTAAGGAACCTAACATAGTAATGTCTCGTCATCTACGTGGAAAGTGTGTCTTTTCCTTTGAACGACGTGACGTTAAATAATGCGTACGAAATCAGCCGAGATGAAAAAGACAAATGAATGATTTTTTTTTTTAAATCTACAAAACCGGATTTTTAGTTCAATTATATTTTCCAGAGGATCGAGAAAATCCATGTGAATGTTCTTCTCTAAATGATGACTCGAACGGGGGATTAGGATGGAACAAAGCTCCATTCTTTATCGATTCAACCACCTTATTTTGGATCCAAATAAATGAAAATCGATAATTATATTCCATTATATTGCTAATATTTTGTACCGTATAACGATACATACAAATGAAAAAAAGAAGAAGAAAACAAATATGTCTAGTTGATCCGAGACAGTTGACCCAAATAAAGGTAATTAAGTACAACATCCTATATTTATATATACATACACACAGTTACATATTGTAGCGTATTCAACTATAAAATTTTGATATTGCTTGTGTATGCCATTAAATTTTATATATCTAAAAAAAAGCTATCTGGAATATGTTCGAACACGAGACATGCATGGTATTGGTCCGAACGCGAGCTCTTGATAACAAAAATTCGCAATAGTTATTTAATATTGGATGACTCAACCGGTAAGAAAGGAAGTAAGGTTCTCTCAATCCGGATTCGAGTCTTCTTTTGGGGAGAATCATTCACATCGATTTCATCGATTCTCTAGAAGATGTGGTCGAGCAAAAAGTTCGGTGAACTTTTGAATTATATATAAAAAAAATCTCAGTCTACGTATACTTTGTTTATTTGATATAAGACGAGAAAAACGTGGCATCATGATTATACTATTCACAATAATAATAAATTATATCATTAAAATATATGAAACGTATGGCGAATTCCACCACTTGTATGGTCAGATGTGGCTTAGTCAATCATTGCAAGCAAAGATTAATTACCTCTCCGTTTAATCATCTCAAGATTAGCTAATAAGCTTTCTCTCTACTCACCGGGAATTAATTAATCATAGTATCACTAGAATTGGTTGGATAATATATATAGTCTCTATATAGGATATATATATATATATATATCTGTTTTTTCTTTCACATGTATATAATCATGTTTTGAAACATAAATATAAAAAAACTGTGTGGAAAATATGTTTTTTTAGGATTAATTGTCAATAAGAAAAAAATAATTCATGATGTTTTGAAGGTAATACTTACGACATATAATTGTGAGTTTATAGGTTGACGAGAATATCCCACATGAAGCTACTATTCTTTCTTCACATGAACCTACGTACGTGCCTTCTCCCCCCTTTTTAGTTATCTATTTGTTTATTTATTAAACTTATAATGGAACACCATTTGTTGGTGAAATCATTATGACTCCATCATTATCCTATTGAATATGTAAATCATGAGGTTCGGAGCTACTTAGTTTCAAATTGGTACAAAAAAAATAATTAATCCGAATTACACTATATATATATATTTAAAATATTACATGGAGCTGATTATATATGAATAGCGTATACCTCATCTCAATTTTATAGATTCGATTAAAGTCGTGATGGATATCAAACATACACACACACACACACACACACACACATATATATACATGTATGTGTGTGTGTAATTAATGGTGGAACATTTCAAATTAGAACCCTAGTTAGCAGAGAGAGACTAATAAATCGCCATCATTTTAATAGATTACATTTTTAGCTTTTGGATAGGTTGCCTTCTTATCTATATAATCTCTCAATTTGTTTTGCGAAGGTGCTGAGTAACAATATCATCAATTTTATCATAATGGCTTCCCACATGTTTTGTAGTATATCCTTGCCTAGTTTCCTAATTTAGGTTTAAAATTTAATTTAATCATCAACAAAATCTAGTGGATGATCCAACATTAATCGTGACAAAATCTCTCCCCTTTGCCTTTAGATCTTCTCTTTTGTCCTAATGGAACCCTAGTGTGCCCAATTCATAGAGCTATTTTTCAATTTTATGATTTGCATGAAAATATATATAATATACAATATTTTACTCTTTATCTCCTACTATATTTATATATCCATGTGAGATCCATATTAATCACTTTTCTCATATGGATTGTTTTAAGTTTCCACCTGAAATAATATGCATTCTACCAAAATCAAACCCTGAGTACAATTATACGGTTTACCAACTCCGACTGCTTTGCGACAAGTTATACCATCTTTGAGTTATACAAAAATTAATAATAATATATGGGTAACTATAACTTTAATATAGTATTTGGGATTGGGTGAAGTCAGATGCAACTCTCAAGAAATTAGTAAAGCCTATATATGACCTAAGCTAAGAGGATTGTGGTTATTAACCGAACCGTACCGAATAAGATAAAATTGTAACCGAATCGAATTCAATATAAAAATCAAATGGTTATGATTTTTTTCAAACCCGAAAAAAATCAAAACCGAATCGAATCGAACCGATTAAAAAATAACAAAAATTCGACAATTTCTTTGAAAAATGAGTTTTTACAACAACAAAAAAAACCGAATTCAAACCGAACTAAACCGGAATTTATATAGAAATCGAATGGTTATAGTTTTTCTATAACCGAAATAAGCGAATTCGAATATAATCGAACCAAAACCCGAAATAGTCATCTTTGTCCACTGCAAAAAATCTCGGACATTATAGCAAATTAGAGTGGACAAATCTCTCTAATTGCTTAATTAAACCGACAATTAAAATAGTGTGAAAAAACCTTATGAAAAATATTGAAAAATCAAATGCAAAGTTAAAAAAAAAAAAAAAAAGATTGAAAGAAAAGAACATTTGAGGCGTTGGAAAAGGATTAATAATCTGTTATATAAAAAAAATGCTTTTGTAAAGTTAGAAATGCCATGGAAGTTAAAGTAGACCAAGGTGGTCTGCCATCCATTAAAAGGTTTCCATCATTTTAACCCCCAAAAAAGAATAACAATAATGATAAAAAAGAACCAAATCTTGAGGAATCCTAAAATCAAATAAAATCACTAATTACGACCGGCAAAGTTTGAATATCATAACATTAAATTCATGTTAATTAAAGATGCTATATATGCTTAATTATTTGTTATCCCCGTCAAAGGAAAAAAAGTTGGATTAAAATTTTTCTTTACAGAGAAAACACATATTCGTATAATTCCAAGGTAATAACGTGTTTCATGATGATAGATAGATGGATGTCATTAGATCGATTCGTGATGTTTTGCATGTTTATTCACCAATATATTTTTTTGGTATTCAAATTAGTTTACTGTATTTTCGACCCAACTACATTAACTTTGAACCGTAAAATAGTCTTATTACAATTAAATCGTATCATTTCATTCCAATGGTCATTCGAATATGAGATCGGGAACAAACGCACCCCCTTCTCAACCTACTACAACAACTAGTCTATTCCGATTGGATTTATTCACCGATATCTTCCATTTTCTGTGTGCTAAAAAGTTCATTCTCTTTCAAAATAGGATGTTTGGGGAATTTACAAGTCTCATATGTTAAATTGAAGGAATATTATTAATCATATAGCATAATTAAGTGGGAATCATAGACTTATTGTATATATGGAGAGACCACTAATAATAATAATAATATGAGAGAATGTCTCTCTCTCTCTCTCTCATTTGGGACAAGGAAATGGGGGATGGGGTTATGACGATATTCCCGTTTAGGAAAGGGACTGTGGCTGGGTGACGTATTTTAGAGTCATTCCCACCAACAATTTTGCTCTTTTTAGAGAATGAGTCTCCAAAGCCACGTTGAGACCCCAGCAAAAATAAAGCAGCAGCAATGTGGGTCGGTGGTGGAGGCGGCGGCTCTTATATATGCTGGTGGACCCAATCTTATATTATATATATATATGTTATTTTCTAATATTTATGGTTATAATCAAACCGAACCAAACCGGATTCTAGTTACAAAATCCTTTCGTAAAACCGAATGGAAGAAATATGTGGAATGGACATTTGATTTCCTGTCGGAGAGGTCGGTTAATACTTCTTGATGAATCTTGATTTTACATTAATACCCTTCATGCCGGGCCTTCAGTTTTGTTTAGGCCCATTAATAAACTTCCCAAGGCCCAGTTCTTCTCGGGTCATCGTTATCGTTTTGACGTCTCTCTCTCTCTCTCCCCTCTGCAGCAGCGAGAACAAATGGAGGTAACAGCAGCGACGGCGACGAGCTTCACGACTGCATTAAATTAAATGAATCATGCCGAGATGTTCTTCTTCTTCTTCTTGCCGTCTCCGGGCATCTCTCTCGACCAGCTTCTTTTCTCCGCTCACCGGCGGAAGCATCTCCAGCGACTTCTCCGGAACCAAGCTCCGGCCGGAATCTCTCAATCCGGCTTATCTCTCCAGTTCCAAGCCTAAGCGCGGTGTCGTCACTATGGTACTTGAACTCATGCCAACGTCGATTCTCTTGTCGCTTCTCACTTTTCTACTTTGTACGCAATTAGGGTTTAGGAATTGCGGTTTTCACGGGTTGAATCTGAGGCCCGGCTTGGTTAATTCGTGAGGGGATTAGTAGTGAGAGGGTGATTCGTTCTTCAACAAACTATTGTTTGCTATGCTTGAACATGCCAAATGATAGACTGCTTATACTCGAGTAATTTGTATCGAAAAGAATGCTTGTTTCTTTCTGGTGCTCAATTAATCGTTGTATAACTGAACATGAAGCTTAGGGAGTGTACTTTTGAAATAAATCATCATGGGCTAGTTGATAGATTGGTGAGAAAGAAGTCTGTTTTTCACTTTCTTACCAAAGACATGACCGAGGGGTAATAGAGATTGAGTCAAGAACTTAACTCCATCAATCTGTATCATTTTATTGGTTTGGTAGAACATTTGGCAAATTTAAGGTTTCAAGCAAATATTTTGGTATACAATCAGCTTTTTCTCTTTAGCTACCATATGTCTGTGGAATTCAGAGACTGGTTGCAAATATCTGGTTATACCTTTGGTCTATAGTCTTTCGAGTTCTTAACGTTCAGTGGCATTATTTCTCGTTGACCCTTATATTCGGTACTCATGAGCATGTTTCCCTCTGTTGACAGGTCATTCCTTTCTCAAAGGGGCCTATATCTGAACAGCCTCCTCCTGATCTGGCATCATACTTGTTCAAAAATCGAATTGTTTACTTGGGAATGTCTCTTGTCCCTTCAGTTACCGAGTTGATGCTAGCAGAGTTTCTTTATCTTCAGTTTGATGATGCAGAGAAGCCAATCTACCTATACATAAACTCAACAGGAACAACCAAGGTAATTTTCACTGAAATGTTTGTTCTCTTTAATTTAAGCACACCTGCTGAA